GGTAACTTCCCTTTTGGCCGGACTGAGTGATTTTCGACTCAAAAATGAGTAGCCTCAAAATATCTTGCAATCTTGGTGTGTTTTGTATCTCTTCTACAGTCTAAAAATACAAAACATTAAGTACCAGTTATGAGAGGCAAATCTGTTACCAGGTGAAAATTTCCTTAATGAAATAACTTTCAGTAAGTAACTTTTCTTTATGTGAGATTACGAAAACCTTTATCTGGACATTGGACATAACACAGAACTTTTACTGGAAGTTTAGCCGAATTGCATGCAATAATATTTATTTCTGTGATTACGCTTTTCAAATATAAAAATATCCAGTTGATTCTTCGACTAACAAGCTGTAATCAACCACTTTGTGGGTTTTCTAAAATGGCTTGTTTACCGATTTGACAAATAAATGTATCTGTAACCATGTGACATGGTTAATTAAACAAATAGAATGGGAAACTAATATCCCTTCCAACGAGAAATCAGAACATCTGAACATCAGAAGTCGTCATTAGTAAATATAAAAAAAAATATGTAAAATAGGGGACATGGCTCTAATGTTGGCCTTTGGATCTAAGATTGGGCCCATCGCTAAAAATCTGCTATTTATCAATTTTATCTAGATGAACGCGTGATTGGGACGGTACTAATAGATATTTTTGGTCGATATTGAAAATTTAATCGGTTTCAAAATTTATGTATGGACCCAAATTAGGAGCATTTAGGCCGACATTACATCCATTTCTCCTATATTTCTTTTATTTGAAAAATCTGAAAAATCAGTATATATTTGAAAAATCTGTAATCTGTATATACTGTGACAGGTTCTATCATTCCAATGGAGAAGGACTTTCTATCTTAGTAGTATCCAAACTATGGTGAGCTGAAAAGCTATCACCAGTAAGGACTACAGTCAAGAGTCTTCAAGTGATTGGTTATGAATCTCTATTTTTGGGTTTCGGTTTTGTTTATATAGGGTTTACAATTCTTTACAGTGGCTTAACGTAATTAACCTATTAGTCAGAGTGAGACAACTGGAGTAGCGTGCCCGAAAAATGCATCTTCGCTAGGTCGGCAATTTCGGTGCCCGGTGGTCCTACCCAGGTGTGCAATGTGACACCTATCGGTATCGAGACTGCATTGGCATGGGTCGAACGGTCGAACACGAGAAGAGAGAGAGAGAGTGTAAATAATTGTGTTCTAACGCCGTGGCGCAACCGGCACATTTGGTCGCGTTTGGCTATGCGTAATATGACCTGTGAGTTTTGGTTCAAGTGGAATGACTTGTTGTGCTTACGTGGAGGTTTTTGACTTGTACTTATTTATGGGTTGAAGATGTAGGGATGCACATCACAATACAGATATCTGTATCAAAAAATTGAAAAAAATCTATATGATTACAGATAAATCTGTATATGTGGCATCACTGGCTCAGCAAACAGTTTGACAAAATTTATTAAACAAGAGTTTGCCTTCTACGATGTTGAGCATTTGAAAGGCAAATATATGAAGATGATTTACGATGTACGTCCCACATCAGTGGACTCCGAAAAAGCATTTTCGGCAGTCATGGAAAATATCATGACACTCACTCGACACTCGTCAACGGATCAACCGACTATTGCTGACAGAACGTTTTGTCAAGCAGTGATAGGTATAGCCATGGCAAACAACAATCACCAGTAATGGTCGCTGCTCATGGGCAAAGCGTAACACTCGCTGGTGATGATGTAAAGCACAACGAAAAGAGTGAAGACTTTCGCAGTACGATGATGAGAAAAAAAAACCAAACGACAGAAGAAAATGAAAACATTGTCTACGCATTCCAAGTTCGTCTCGGCACGCGCGACTGTGTGAGTTCAAACAAAGCTGGCAAAATAAAACGAAAGCTGTTGGGCTCACTCACCAATACACTCACATATGCAAGCAAAGCAGCAACTGCTTCAAAACGAGCACAGATGCGTGTCGTGATTGTCGGGAATAACCAGATCGGTGATGGATCACCACCGAAGACGACATTTACCAGTTGCTTTTTACTTCTTTCGTCAACTTGATGGATGGTCATGGAAAGAGATTCGACGAGCACATTGATAGGAATGTACCGAGCGTTACTACCATCAGCTGTTTGACGATCGTGATTGTGATAGACCACAACTCTGATTTTCGGTTTCGGGAAACTTCGTCAGTAAGATCCGTTCTCGTTTGGGAGATAATACGATAAACGCTCTTTGTGTTCTTCAATTTTACTTTAACAAAAGCCTAGCTTTGAAAATCGCATTTCTAACTGAATAATTTACCAATAAACAATCTTTCTTAAATTTATGCAGTTTTTTTTGTACCTTACCTTATACCGGTTTTACCGGTATTAAATTTTTAAATACTGGAAAACCGGTTTTAGAAATAAGCCTCCAGCATTGCCAACCCTAGACCGTATGTTCTATTGCTAAGCTTTTCATAGATACGGGTGGAATCTTGTCAGGTCTTGGACCTTTGAAGATGTCTCAATTTCGTAAAGCCACCATAATGTCATCCGTTGTGATTTGATTGACACTAATGGCTCTTGTAAATACAGAGAGGAATGAAAAAAATTTCCCGATCATGATCTTCATCAGAAAAAGTGGTTTTTTTTCGTCAAAATTTATGCTAGATGGAAAGTTGTCTGATTTTAATTTACGTTTAACGTTAATTATTTTTGTGACAGGATTTAATTTCCAGTTCTATTGTTGCATTGTGCTCTTCAAATGCAATATCAATGGCTATATTTAGTTCATTTCAAATGTTTAAATAGTTTTCCAAATTACCATTGTTGTTATACCTTTTAGAAATTTTATGTGCTTTCTGTTTTCGGTTTATTAAATTTTTGATTTGTCTGTTGACCCAAACTGGACGCACACTTAGAAAAAATCACCGACTTCGGTAATTCTCGACAGATGAACGGTCGGTAATGTTTTCGATAATCGATAACATAACCGAAAAATCTGTAAACTGGATCAGCAAAATTAACTGTCAAATTTATTGAATGATCGGTTACATTAACCGATGTGCATTGCTTGATTTGTAGTCGACTTTACCGGAGAACTGTAATTTTGAGAACGATATGCAAATCAAAAATTACCAAGAGCTCTGTAATTTTTTTAAAAAGGTAACCGACTCAACTGTAATTCACTTTAATATTTTGTTCCAAGGTGGCGGTCACTGCAAACCATGCATAAATTTGGCTGCAGTCGTGATCAATGTGTTAGTGTAGCAAATTGCTCCACCAATCAACTAAAACATTTTTTTTTGTCGGAAGGATTGGATGAAGATTCCAAATGCTGTTTTCAGATCTTCGCCAACGGGAATGGAACTTGGACCGACAGAAAAAAACAAGCACAACAACATCGACCATCTGTAATCGGTATTTATTTAAATAACGAAAATTAATTTCTCATGGAAAATATCTACGAGACCGTTACCGAACTCAGTAATGGAACGCTTTGTTTACCGAAGCTGATTTTCAGACCTATCGGTAAAAATGTTTACCGTTTTCGTTAAATTAAAATGAAATTACCGAAATTCGGTCAATTCATTTACAGTTTTCAGCGAGAAAATACCAAAACATCTGTAATTTTTAGCATTACCAATCTAAGATGGTATTTTTTTTATCGAACTCGGGGTCTCTGTTTAGGTGTGTGCTTTGAGTTGCCCTGACGTCCTCTTCTCTATAATGGTACTTCATCCAGTGTTATTTCAAATAATATTTTGTAGAAGACGTCAACAGCATTTTCGGCATTTTCTTCATTCCTCAAAATCGTTTGTCAATTGACACTATCAATAAACTTCCCGAAAAATTATTTCAAAGCTTTCTTTAAAAAACTAAACACTTAAACTAAAACAAATTACCGTTTATATTTTTCCCATAATGAATTTAATTTTTTAAACAACTTTCTCTCAGGCGTCATTTCGATCAGAAGTGACGTTTTACAATTTATTGAAAATGTCAGACGCTATTTTGAAAAAGAATGACAAGATCCAAAATGGCTAATTTTTTGCAAAAATGTGAATTGTTGTTCCGTCATACCGTGGACCCCCGTTAATCTGAACGAGACTTCGTGCATATTAACGGGGTTCATTTTTAATTTGGTAGCCCTATTTTCTGTTTTGTTTTGATTCTGCGTTACGTTTCACATCGTTCTATTCCATGTGCTAGATGACGTTTGAGCAATTTTTAGTTTGCATGGTGTTCAGATTAGCGGTGTTCAAACTAAAAACAAATTCAGATTTAGAACGGTCAGATTACCGGGGGTTCACGGTAATTTTGCAAAGTTTCGCAAATCGGAGAAGGTCGAGTCTTAAATTTTTATTTATTTATCCAATTTGGCCCAGTTCTAGGCCATGCTTCGATAGCAGAATAAGCTATTGGCTTGTTATACCACACATCTAACCAATAACATAATAAGATAATGATAGTAAAATTATTTTCAACTGGTTTTGTTATTCGCCTTTACCCGGGTAAGGCCTATTTTTTCTAGATAATATCAAAATCGAGATCGTTCTGTGTAACAAAGGTTGCCCGGTCTTAATTGGCCCATAATACGGCGATGACTGTACATAGAAAAATGTGCAAATCAGAAACTGCTGCTATTTGCATAACAGTCTCATGCAGATAGGAAATCAATAGGACAAGAGACTGTTCTGCGAATAGCGATAGGAAAGCCATACCAAAATATAAAGAGGCCAATTTTGAGCCGCGAGTGAGATGACAATAGTCACGCCAAGTGAAATGACTCTCCGTGCAAATCAAATGGAGAGTCACTTCTCCTAGAGGCTACACTTGCGGTTGAAAATCAAAGATCATTCTTCAGTGGTCGACTGGACAGCCGAAATTCTCTTTACTCACATTATGTACATATTGGCCAGTGTCATCATTGAATCATTTCCAACACAATTTGCTTTACGAAGTCGCTGTGTTTTACTATTCCAATCTCAATTATTTAGTCTCGCAACGGTTACCATGTACATTTACCAATTACCATAGTCACTTTTAGTTGTCATCAAAGTCATGCTTGTGGTACGGCGAGAACGATTCGTTGTTGGCAAACTTTTCCCGCATCTTTTCGCACTTCTTGGACTGATCTTGCTTTTCCTTCGGGCAAGCCAATGTCATCTGACGCCACATGCAGTAGCCAAAGTTAGACGAGGATGGATTGCAGGTCGTATAATCGCCAGCGGCCTTCATCTTCTCGTTCTTTTCGGCTACCTCCTTGATGCAGGACTCGACCAATCCTCCCACCACTGGTTCCTGCCATGGATCGGCGGCGAAGTTTTCCTTGGTGAACTCGACCAGTTTGTCCGACTCCAGCAGGTTACCGTCCTTGTCGATGATGTTGAACTTGCGGCTCACGCACTCGACGGCACAGATGTACTCCTGTTTGGTCTTGTTCATCTTTTCGCAATCGAACATATCCACCGGGTTCATCATTCCACGGGCAGAGCGTTCGTTGGTGGATCGGGCCTCCATGAAGCACTGCTTCTTGGTCTCACGGAATTTATCCATGTTCTCGCCGTTCAGGTCGTTGCAGCACTTGTGCTTGTGGTTGCGCTTGCACTTGTCATCGGTCATCTCCGGCGTGGATCGCTTGAAGCGGTCCATCATGGTAGGAGTATCCTCGCTGTCCAAAATTTCCTCCAGGACCAGTTCATCTGTTTGGGAAAGGTTTCACTGTAGAGTTGGAGATTTGGCCTATACAACTGAAAATACTTACTGTAGTACGAATCTTTGAAATCGTAACAGGCCGCCAGGCCCAAAAACGCTAGACACACCACCAATTTCAACATGTTCCTTTCTTCGTCACTTAATGGCCGTGGGTGTATGATGCGCGATCGGCAATAACTACGGGAATGAATGATTAGCATGTTTTGCGAGGCAGTTTTATAGCAGCCCAATTTCACCTGGACTGATGCCGGTCAACTGGTTTGTAAACAGCTGATCGTCATCATCCGCAGCATCCAAGCGAGTGTGATTGGTTCTCGGAACACGGCGGGGGATTTTTTCTCTTTTTGTTTGTATATTCTCACTCCAGGAACCTAATTACCTACAAGGCAGCCGGGACTCCGGAGTGGATGCAGTGTAGTTTTGTTCGATATTATGATTTTATAGCACTTGCGGGCTTAAGAAAGGTAATACAATCCACGATTCAAATCTCGATATTTTTGTTTTTGGATATTTTTCCTTGCCTTGGTGGCCATACTAAGGTCAATTTAAAGAGACTTGACTGTGTAAACCCGTTTCAAAGTATCAACACAAAACCGAAGATCAAAAGAGGACTAAAGACCCTATCTACAGTTAGATTTAAGTTTCGCAGAAAGCTGGAGTCGGATGGCATAGGGTATCGCTTAAAAATTACGTTCGATTAGATTTAAAATAAACACACAGAGCAGGAGGAAAATGCAGGATTGAATTGTACATTTGATAGCTGAAGTCCTCATCAACTAAGATTAGTAATAAAATCGGTGATACTTAAACAAACGTAATCTTTGCGCATCCCCTCGATATCGATGGGCTGATTCTTTTTTTGCTTCACTTCTTCTTTAAGCATATTATTTCCATATGAAGTGTGCTGCCAAAGCGAAGAGTGCGTTTCAAACTTCACCAGGTAGGTAGGGAGTGTCGTTACCGCGAAACCCATGATAAGTGCGCAGTGGTCGAGAAGTGTGTTTAATTAGCGCTTTTGCATGCACACACACACACACTACACTTGAGCGGGTGGAGGAACACAGAGAGCTTTGCGTCACTCATCTGCTGTTTAATGATAATAACATAAGATTAGCTTCGGACACAACATGATGCCAGCAAATGAACACAATTTGCTCATTCTGATGCGTACCAAGTTCTATCTGAAGTCCTACTGTTTGTAACCGGTTAGTTGTGTGTTTGCTCTGAAGAAGGTTATCGAACGAAACACGCAGAATTGTCTGTCCTGCTGGTGGGTGGAAGCAAATGGCTTGAATTTAAAATAAAAATAAACATTCATCCCATTTGGCACATGGAAAATTACCTCTGGACTTCAATGGGTGCTTCTAACGGACAATATAGGGAAACTTTCACTCTAACGGCATCTGCGAATTTGGAATAAGCCGTTCGACGTTTCAGATTCTGGATTTATTTTTGCTTCGTGTTATTTATGAACATCAACACAGCATCAAAGAGTTGAATTTCTTGTTTACTATCGAGATTTATTAGACTGTATATGTTTGCTCATTTTGTTGCACGAAGAGATTGAAAAAGAAAGTTTGGGACAGTTTGTGTTTTGCTTTTGTCATTGGAAGTTTTTGCCGGTAGTGAGCACATTGCATTGGCAGTTAGAGAAAAATAGTTGATCTATGGCCCCAGTATATTTCATTTGCCGATTTCCAACCTTGTTCAACCGAATCAGCTTATTTGAACTGTGTGCAAACTGCCGGTACTCGCGTATCTGTCATGTTGATGGAAATTACGACTAAACATATGTGTATAATTTATTGTTTTTTTGTTATTTCTAGTACATAATAAAAATTACAGACTGTGCTGGATTTAGGATCCAGGGGGCCCGCGGCAAACATCATTAAGGCCGCCAATATTATCTGCTATCAAAGTTTTAATTTCAAATGTGCGATCGTATTTTTCCTCTTATCATCTTGATATAAAAAAAATTAAATTAGCTATTAAAAAATCTGAAGAAAATCAAATAAATAGAAAATGTCGGCTTCGGCAATACTATAACCTACTATCATCAGGGGGTAAACCAAGTCTTATAGCAGTCAAATTTCGACAATAGATGCTCTGAAACACAATGTATCCACATGGTAAAATTGAGCTCTCAAGGACGTTGTTTACCCCCTGACGATAATAGGTTAAGGTATTGCCTAAGCCAACATTTCCCCTATGGAATCTCAGTTTCGCCACAAAAAAAATAATAAACGTAACTACTGTGATCCGGGGGCAAACTGCTAACCGGGGTAAATTTGGTGGATTGGGGATAGATATCAAGAGAAAGCTTGATAGCATTTCATTATTAGACTAAAATTGTAGTTTTGAAGAGTTTCTCTTTACCAAAAACTAGATATTTCTGCATAAATATCAATTTTATTCAATTGACGAACAATAGCATTCAATATCAGAATTTCAAACATACGAATCATACGGTTGTTCTTAACTTGAAAGTGACATTTTTCATTGGACAATCAATCTGTTTTTTTTAGATAGGGTTAACTACCCCATTTCCGGTCTATTAAGCACAGCCCGCACTTAGTCTTTCTTAATCTAGCGCACCAAGCGGAATGTTATTATTCTGATGGCTTCCAAATTTATCTACCTTTCCGTATGTACCGTAAGATTTGATATAGAGAAACCAATCGTTGAGATATTGTCAAAAGTCTAACACTGCTTCTTGACGCCAAACTCGGCCTACGGATTCTAAACTCGGCGTTCCAATAACGCGTTCATCTAGATAAAATTGATAAATAGCAGATTTTTAGCGATGGGCCCAATCTTAGATCCATAGGCCAACATTAGAGTCATGTTCGCTATTTCTTAATATCTGCTGAGCGAGATTTATGATAGAAGAATTTCACATGATGATTGTTTTCCCATTAGTACGTCAGAGTTCTCTTTTAAGTTGGCAAAACGATTGGACAAGTAATTCTCTTGGGCGGTGGTTACATTCCATTATTCCAAATGTTTCTTCGAGCGCGTGGTTCAAAGGTCTGGATGTAAGTCGGGGCTTCATTCGCGTCATGTCAAGACTTATGTCCAACCACTACTCGCTAGACGCACATCTCTACAGAATAAACCTTGTTGACAGCAATATATGTAGGTGTAGAACCGGTTATGATGACATTGATCACGATGACATTGATCATTGACGCCTCCAGAGTACGACTGGTGGATACCCTAGTGGCCCGAGGTAGACAACCCTTTCGTGAAGTAAGAGATGTATTGGGAACCCGTGATCTTCCCTACATGCAGACGATCTACGAATTCCTTTGTTTGTCTGATGTTAGAGTTTGATGTGACGATCCCCTCCTTTCGAATTTCCAGCTATTGTGTCCCAGTCTTGTTATCCTCCTGTTTCTGTGCTACTTGCCCCTGCCCAGCCAGGATTTGGTCAACCGTCCGTGAGTAGTATGTGAAGGAGGCTTCAGAAACCAGTTTCCTACCTAGCTCCTTCCAATCTTAATTTTTATCCACTAACCTCGAGCCCGCCACGAGTAATTGGTACCCAATACAAACTACTGCTGTTTAAAATGTAAATTCAAACATTACTGATTCTTGGCTCCGCAAAGTGTCACACACGACTGCGAAATATCTGTTGAAAATATATTTCGTACAACGGTTCATGGAACCCACATTTAATAAGAATAGCTCATAGAAAGTTATTCGAAAGCCATTTAACCCTCCGTTACTCGCGCTGTTGTACTTTGTACAACACTCATGAGTTTTCCATTGCTATTTTGTTGCTGAGTTACCAATCGATCTGAAACCAACGAGTATTCCTCAAAAAACTTGTTTTGATATAAACAAGCTAAACTTTGATTACAGTAAACACCTAAAAATGCGGATAATAGGGAAAATGTAAATGGAAACCGCATAAAATGTGACCATGCTACGTGGGATTTGACTTAATTGATTACAACATGGAATATATCGAGATCCTGGCCAGATAGAAAGTTACTGCCTCCAACAAAGTTGTTCAGGAGATCATAGTCTTGTCGATGGCGGACAGTAGTTCAGAATTTTCTCACTACATTGCGCTAGTATACATGTGAAATTCTCGCATATAAAATATCTCAAGTTCTTGACCAGATAGAAAATTACTGTCGTCGGCAAAGTTGTTCAGGATATCACAAAATTTTTGAAGGGTGGACAGTTCTTCAAAATTTTAGCGCTAGTGAAATGTGAAATTCTCGCCTGTGATATATCTCGAGATCCTGACCATACTGTCTTGAACAAAGTTGTTCAGGAGGTTAAAGCCTAGAATTTGTGAGAAAATTCTGAACTTCTGTTCACCAACCAAAATACCTTGACCTCCTGAACAACTTTGTCGTAGACAGTAACTTTATATCTCATCAGGATCTCGAGATATAGCATATGCGAGAAGTGTACATGTATACTAACGTCACGTGGTGAGAAAATTCTTAACTACTGTTTACAAACCAAAAAGGCTTTGACAACTTTGTCAAAGACAGTAACTTTCTATCTGGTCAGGATCTCGAAACAAGTCACATGCGAGAATTTCACGTGTATTCTAGTGCTACGTAGTGAGAAAATTTCTAACTACTGTTTGCTGGCGGAATCTATCTGATCAGAATTTCGAGATATTTTATATGCGAGAATTTCGCGTGTATACTAACGCCACGTAGTGTGAAAATTCTGAACTTTTGTGCACCAAGCAATAGACATTGACCTCATGAACAACTTTTTCGAAGACAGTAATTTTCTACCTGTTCAGAATCTCGAGTTAGCATACGCGAGAATTGTGCATGTTTACTAGTGACACGTGGTGAGAAAATACTGGGCTACTGTCCATCAGCCAAAAAGTCTTGACACCCTGTACAAGTTTGCCCAAAACAGTAACTTTCTATCTGCTCAGGATCTCGAGCTATTGTATATGTGAAAATTGCACGTATATACTGGCGCCACGTAGTGACAATTTTCTGAACTACCCCACCAACGAAAAGGCCTTGACCTTCTGAACAACTTTGCCGAAGACAGTAACTTTCTATCTGGTCAGGATTTCGAGATATTTTATATGAGAATTTCACGTGTATACTAGCGCCGCGTATTGAGAAAATTTTGAACTATGCACCAAGAAATAGGCTTTGATCTCATCATAAACTTTGTCGACGACAGTAACTTTCTATCTGGTC